ATGATGTAGAAACAGATTTTTATCCACTGGAGACAGGCTTTTAATTAAAATAAATGTTTTCTTAAATTGCCATTAACCAGTGTCAACAATTGTGAAATTTGACAGAAATAGGAAAAGTTTGAAACTTATGTAACCGTGAAGGAAGGAAATATTCATCACATTTTTATTTTAGCTCCGAAAAATCTAAAGCCTGATGACCAATTTAAAAATATATAGTTACCCGAAGAAATCGGCCACGTTGGTTTTCCTTGAGGTCCAAGTAATAACGACGATTGTCTTTGACAATCATTTCACTCTTTAATTTCCCATCTTCAGGGGGTGTTTCTGAATTGGTAGGGCCTAGTAAAAAAACCACAAAAAAAAAAACCACAAGTAACTAGGAATTTCTGAAATGTAAGGTAACAATTATATTCTATTTAAAAATGGTAGCAAACCAATTTCCTAAAAACATCCAAAAGTTTATTTCAAGAACAACCAAGAAACAATTTATGTAAATTTGTAAAATATTTTGTTCAAAATAAAAATTGTGTTGTACACAAACATCAATTGCACCTAGACTCATGAGCGCTTTCAAGTAAGAATAGATTTATATAAAGGAAGCTGACTTTTAAAATTTCAGGGTATTTTTTTTTTTTTTGTGGATTCTAATAATTTGTTTAAGAAATCCGATTTAAAACTGCTTATCCTGTATATAGGCTTTCAAAAGTACTAAAATACTTGCTTTGCTTAAAATTTCTGATGAAATAGTATTTGCTTTAGCTATTTGTCTGGGCAATGCTTTTCAAATTTTTGAAATCTCATATTTTGAACCTTCATTTTCTGATTTTAATTTTTTAAAACTTATTTTTAGTGCCCGTAAATTTTTTGGAGCCATCATATCACGGTGGATATTGTCCAGGTTGACTCTGAAAATTAACAAATCAGTCATATCTGACTGGCTATTTAAAATTTTCATTAAAAAATTTAAAATTAATAATAAATGTGAAACTTTGGATTTACTATTTTGGAATGTTAATGGTAATAAAGAAAAATAATTTATACCATTATTTTACAAACTTATTATT